CTCTCTCTCTCTCTCTCTCTCTCTCTCTCTCTCTCTCTCTCTCTCTCTCTCTCTCGTGCTCTCGGGCGCAAGTCCCAACACGAGTGCGACTTCAATTCTTACCTCTCCTCCTCTCCTCTTCTCATCCTCGCTCTCCCCCGTGCTCTCGGGCGCAAGTCACTACACGGGCGCAACCTCAAGTCGTTTAGTGATCCGAGCGCCCGAACGCACATTCACGACTCCGTACGCTCTCCTGTTTTTGCACTCCCTCCTCCCTTTATACTGTGAGAGCGGTGTCTCTCGTCGACCTCCCCCTCGACCGCGGCAGCCCAGGCGGGAGGTTCGAAATATTCGCGAATTTTTCCCGCTCACTCGTACATCCTCCCCTTTCTCAATCCTTCTCTTCTCCTTTCTCCTCCAATCCCGTGCCTTAATCATTACTCCCTTGGATCAAGAGTTGCGGCTCTTCCGTTTCCTTTTGTCCCCCCTCCTTCCCGATTTCAAGACCGCCTCTTTCTTCTCCTGCCTTTAAGACCATACGGGACTTATTCCTCCCCACCTTCGCTTCGACAGTTAGGAAGCGCATGCACTTTTTCTTCTACCCGCAACCGTTTTTCCCGCTTCGGTATCCCTGTTGTAGTCTTGCCTATCGATCCCGTGCGATGAGAGCTCCTTCAACAACCCCGCTTTTCTGCCCTGTCCCCGGGTCAGCTCCGCCGCTCCCTCCTCAGCTTTCTATGTGCTGCCACGGCAGCCGCGGCTCCTTTCTGCTATCGAACGAGCCGACTAGTCGTGGCCCACCGCTTCAGCGGACATCCTTAGCTCTAACCGCCAAAACTACTTCATCAGGACCCCCCCCTCTTGGCAAAAAGCCCAAGATCGAAGTCCATCCTACTTCCTGCACAACCCCACCTTCTTGATTTTTGTAGCTGCTGAGATTTGCGCGCGCTACAGCTTGCACTTTCGTCCCCTTTCTTAAGAAAAGGGACAGTCGTAGATGCCATCTCGATTCCTAACGGTACTTTTTGCAGACCAGGGAGCTGCTTAGCAATCGCGAGCCGGCTAACCGCCCCTGGCTTGCAGATCGCCCCAGCTCTCCACTCCCCCTTGCTCAATCCGCAGCTTTCCTTCCTCCACCAATCCCCATTGCCGTTTTTTTGTCCTCGGATTCCCATAATGACACTAGATCCTCGACCAGCTCCGTGTTGTCATTCGTCAGGCTCCCTCCCTTCCAATACGGTCATTCGTAGTCTATCCTCAGGTGTCGGGAGCTTACAGCTTCCCGTATACAACCCCGAAGGTTGGATTCTGGCATCCCCCTTTCGTGCCACTTGTACCCACACCCTCATCCACGGCTTCCAGTTGATCGATCACAGAAGCCCGGCCTTCCCACGTCCTCATGCTATCCGAAAAATGCTTGTTTCGAGTAAGTCCAATCAAAAATACTCTGGGCGACCTACCATTCTGTGCGGACTGTCACGCCGATGACCCAACGAGGCGACCAGTCATCGTTCCTGTGTTTCGCACGAAGCCTGGTGGTCATGATCTCATTTGACAGCGATCTGAGTTTCTTTTCGTTCTATCTGGTAGTACCACACCTTGGCTCAACCATCACCTCTCAAAAATCAAACTGGGACCCTGGTGGCCGAGCACTCTCTTCCTGATCCCAACGCCAGCTGGAGACGCCGTCCATGTCACACTGATTCCCCTTAGTCACAACAAGCCGCGAACAAGCCCCGCTTCGCGTCGCGTGGAATTATACCATGCTGTGGAGGTGGCTGTGAAAATCCTTAATCTCATATCCAGTTTCAGGCATGCTCCTTGGCCCACTTTGACAAGCTTTGCGGCTACTTTCCTTAAGCATTTTCCTCTCCTCGGTCCAGTTGCCCGCCGCTTTTTCTCCCTTCTTGGACGCCTTGTCAAACTCTGATTTTTCGTCCGCGCTAGGCCTCGCTTGCGACCACCGTCTCGGGTCGTCGTCTTTGCCTGTCCGAGGGTTAGTATGGAGAACAAAAAAAACCAAGATCACCTCCAAGCCCCTCTTCATTCGCATTCACGCGCCAATCATACCAAAAAAGAACAAAACACCCAAAAAGTTTTCTTTTGTTGTGTAGGAGGTAATCGGCTGGTAGGCAGCCCCGAACACCGGAACTTGAAGTTGTGCTCCTTCCTTTCTTCATTCAATAGCCTAAAGAAATCTGGCTGGCCGCTCGCATACTGAAACCTCTGTATCTTCTTGTAGTTTTAGAAGAGAATGTCCCACTTCTTCATGCAGTCGTCCGCGTCTCTAGGCCTCCCCTCATTCACCATGCGCTTCGCAGTGTCGTCCCACTTCCACTCCTTGGTCCGCATCCGACCGTAATTGTGACCCAGCCCGACGAGGTGCATGTCTTGCTCCCGCTTGCATCTCACCAGGAGCATTTGGTCTTCCGAAGACCAGTACGTCGCAGACTTCCCGCTGTCGTCGTTGGCGCCACCTCTGTCGCCATGGCCAACGGATGGACCATGAACAGCACCTGTGCTGCGTCCTTTCCCCCTCCCACCCGTCTTCCCCGGAGGCCGAATACGAATGTCGTCGTCGTCGTCCCCTGCTTCCACGTCCTCCATAAATCGTTCGTCGGCGTCGTCACCGCGACCACCATTGTCGTCGCCGCCATCGCTGTGTGCCCGCATGTTTGACACTCCTCGTGTGATGTTCTCCACAGTGGGTCCTGGACGCACCGGCGGTCTGCAGGCGCCCTCGTCCCTGAAGTCGGGTTGGGTCGGCGTTGTGCGGTCGGGCATCGAAGGACGTGCACCGCGGATGCGCAGGGACCCGGTTGCGACTCCATTGCATGCGGGGCAGGTACTTCTTGATCGATCGGCGGACGGTACAGTCGATCCATGCTGCCGGGCTAGTGCCGAAGGCCCGACACCGCCAGTAAAGGACGCACCTCGACGAAGTGTGGACTGCTCTGTATGCTGCCTTCCAGCATGTTAAACGCCACGTGGCGAAGGATCGGCATCGATGATGAACGTACGGCTCGCCTCCCTAGCGCCGCCAGAACACAACCCGAACCTGAGATCAAGTCCTCCATTGTCGTTATCTCCCAAGCCTTGGTGCAGCAGTGAGGAGAACTCGCCGCCTTCGTTGCTAGCCGACCCGCCTGCTCGCACCGTCTGCGACAACAGCTGCGTCGACCCGCTGGCAAGAGGCAACGTTGGAAGTTCTTTCGTCTCCGGCTCCTCGTCCGACGGGGAAAGTGGCGTCTCCCACGACTTGAGATGTCTGTACAAAGATGGGTCGTACTGTCGTGGAGGCTCCGCAGTCGGAGGTCGTCTTCCGCCCTGACTGCACCAACACCTGTGCATGCCTGCATGCCCGCCATCGGACGTTCCCCTGCCGCCCGTTTCGTCGACGCCCGCCTCTTGCAATGTTGTTTCCACGGCCGCCACAACAAGCACACGTGGAGGAAGACGACAATCAGGAACACGACGACAACGAGTACCAGCAGAGGCAATCTCCTCTGCACGTCAGCCATCAAATTCACCTCAGGAGCCACCCTCACACGCAACTACTGCAGACGAGTGTTTCGACATGCCGGGCGATAGGGTCGCTCGACCTTCATATGCCAACAACCAGCAGAGAAGACGACAAAGGCGCCTGCCTGCGATTCAAAAATCGACCGTTGCCGCCCGCGCACCACCTGAAGCGCCTCCGTATGTCGTCCCATGCACGTCGTCGTCCTCCTTCGCTATCCGCAACCGAGCCAACGGTCCAATACGAACGTCAGCCCGCCCACGGTCGCCCCCCGACGCTCCACCTCGTCAGCCAACAGCTACCGCTGGTGGCCGTTGCCAGCCTCGACCCACAGAGAACCTCCGATGTCCAATCACCCACCACACGGACCGCTCCTGGACCAGCAACCCCGTGTCGACGGTGCCATGCGCACGATGCAACGAGTCCGTGAAACTCGGGAATCCTAAATTTTTCTGTAGGTCGGGGGCTAGTGGAAAATTTAGGATGATTTTGCCTGGGGAATCCTAAATCCTTTAGGACTCGTCCTAACCCCGTTTTCACATTTTGGATCTCGAAATTGAATTTAGGATTGCGTGCAACGAAGACGCAATCTTAAAAACAGGCACTTTTAGGAGTGTCTAACGAGACCCTAAGTCGTCATAAAACTTACCTAAGGACATACTCACACCAGCACGTACTTCCGCAAATTTGCGTTGTGTTTATATGGCACTTGGGGATCACACTGGTCACCCGTTTGTTGCCCAAAGCAGAAAAGACAGGGTCGTGACCTCTCAAGCCCTAGAGATGCGAAAATAGATTTGTCGGCAGACAGACAGCACAATGCACATTTTTATTTTTATTTTTGCTTCCAGAAAACAGTAGAGGAAAAAGAAATACGATTTTGTGGGGACGTCTCTCTGCAGGTGGTCCCCGCAAAATATGTAAGCCTGCGGCTGTCTAGGCCGCTGACATTTACGTGCCCTTTTGTGTGAATATGCAAAATACGTGTTCAGGCCTCTTGTGACACGAAAAACTACATAACATTTGCGATTTTGCAAAAATACGTGGTACTGTGAGTGTGTGCCCTAACCTACGCCAGTCGGCAAAAATATTCTCTCTCAAACCTTGAAGCATTGATCTTTGGAACTCGTTGGGGGAAAGAATTTGTCCACTTAACCGACCATCTTTCCTACCCCTTTCCATAAAGTCCAGATACCCATAGCCCTATATATTTCTGCTATATAATGGGCCGCATTAGATGGGCTACACTTATCCTCTTTAAGAATAATAAACTCACAGGACCAGAGAGTTGAGGCAGTGTGCTGTGAATAAGCCTCGAACCATATAGATGCCCACCAATTCCAAAAATCTTGAGCTATTAGGCAAGACCACCAAATGTGGGGGATGTCTTCAATAAGGTATGAGGTACAGGAGGGGCAGAAGGTTAAGACCAGAGTGGCCACCTTCATCCTAGAGAAAACTTTGAGGGCGAACGTGTGTTGTAGTTGGCTGCAGCTGCGCTAGCGCTAGCGCCCCGATGCTGCCAGACCGGCAAGGCCCGGTCTGCCGGCTAGACTAGGGCCGGGGGAGGGAGCCCTTCGGTTGCTAGGCCTGTACGCGCGCCCAGCAGACGTGCGTGTCGTCTGCACTGACACGGGGCTGCTGTTGTATGAGACATGTGTGCTCAGTGACACGCGGACAGGGATTACGCCAGCCGTGGAATTCTTGGTAGTTTGCGACTGCGGTGGCAACTTCTAACAACAACGACACACGGAGGTGAGGGAACTATCGGTAGGTTGGCGATGACGGGTTCGGATGAGCTAGAAGCCAAGGAGTGGCTTACTTTCGTTCAAGGGAGCATTGAGCGGGTGCGCCACGGGGTGGCGAGGCTGAGAGCGGTGGTGTCAGGCACGACGGTGCCAGCAACTTCGTGGATCCGGAGCGAGCGACAGAGGCTATTGGAGACAAAATTAGGGGTTAGAGGAGGGGCCGCCCCCCCACCTGCGCGCGGTTATAAATGGGCTACGACTGGAGAACCTGATGCGGCAATATTACGATGATCTAGAGGAGGGGCAAGATCTGTATGCTCAGCTGGAAGATCGCTGCTATTGTGATAGTGACGACGTCAGCGACATCGACAGCAGCGACAACGGCGAGCTTCTCTGCACTACCGTTCATTACAGCAACAATGACAATAGCAACACCGATTTCACTTGCATCGCCGATCACTATAACACCAACAACAAAAACGACAACAACAACAACAACGACAAAAGCAACGACAGCAACGACGACAACGAGGTGCATATGGACAAACATGACGATCAAGGTTGTTTTGTCGACGTCGCTTCCAATGGAGCCGTCAACCACAGTGACAACAATAACATAAACATCAGCACCGGTGATGGTGACAACAACATCAGTAACGACATCAACAACAACAAAAATAATTGCGAAGTCTGTGGCCCTCCACCGTGCATCCAAGTCAGCCAGGCAGTCGACGATGAAGGTAAGCTTGCTGGGAGGGGGACGACTTCGTGTATGCTCATGACAATTCGGGGCTCTCTGTGTGGACGGGATAGCATAGAAGCTCTGCCATGGGATCCGGGTGGGGTTGGGAGGGAGGGTTGTGGGCAGCGTAGTTGGGGAGGCTTGGTAGCTTCTTGCATGCCGCATGATTTAGTGAACGTGGAATTCGTGCGAACAGGGGGGGATAAGAAGGAGAAAGGGTCGATGTGTTATGTCGGGTGTTGTTCGCACGATCTGAAGCTTTTTGCAGCCTTTTAGAATTATAACGGATTGCCACGTGGCAGGAAAGGTACAAACGTGCGATAATTGCGTGTTTTGCCGCGTGGAAAGTGCAATTTCGCTTTCGATTCTTGCTCTGAATGTCCCTCCCTCTCATGGTGATTGTTAGCGCTGTAAGGCGTTTTGGTTGTTGATGAGCGTTTCAGGGCTACTTACTGACTGAGATGGGGAACTTGATTGGTTTGGGGTTTTCCATTAATTGAATTTGTCGCCCTATCCTGATTACCCTTTCCCCCAATGGTGCTGAACGACTTTTTTGAAGTAGGTGAGGGTTGCACAGGGGGTTCTGACTCTCCTCTATAAAAAAGGAGATAGAAATAACATCAGGAACTACAGACCAATTACACTCCTCACAGTGGTTTATAAGCTAATGGCGAAGGCTCTGGCAAACCGCCTGGTCCCAATAATGACACATATCATTCATCCCGACCAAACTGGGTTCATTCAAGGCAGGAACATCCAAGACAATATACTCCTGGTCAATGAAATGATAAAGCTCACAAGACAGTCTAAACATAATGCAACTATTATATTCATCGATTTCGAAAAAGCATATGACCACGTGGATTGGCTGTTCCTGGACAAATGCCTTGAAAAACTCAGCTTTGGACCGTGCTTTAGGAGATGGGTATGGATCCTGCACGGGAATCCAACAACTAGAGTCATGGTAAATGGAAATTTAGCACCACCCATTGGACTCCAGAGGTCAGTCAGACAAGGGGACCCAATAGCCCCCTACCTTTTCGTCATAGTCATGGAAGCTTTAGCCGCTTACCTCAGAACACATAAGGACATTAAGAGAATCCAAGCTTCCTCAATACCACAGGAAGCGATCCCGGTGTGCTCCCTCTTCGCCGACGACTTGACCCTCATGCTCGACGCATCTAGGGAGGCAATGGTCGGGGTCCAGTCCATGATGGATCGCTTTAGTAGGCTATCGGACATGAAGGTGAACTGGGGGAGCAAGACCCAAGGGTGGTGGATACACCACCATGGAGTCAGACACCCGGAACAACCTAGAATCAAATGGCTCCCCTCAGAAGCCCCCATTAGGGTGTTGGGGGTTATAATGTCAGCTGAAGGTAGACCGGCCATTAACAATGAATGGATTTCTAAACCTCCCTTGGAAAAGATGACGCAATGGCAAGGGAAACATACATCCCTATTCGGACGTGCACTCATAATCAACAATGTAGTGCTGGCCACCTTGTGGTACAAATCAGCGATTTGGGCACTAGACAAAGCTGCCCTCCGCCCATTGCAACGTCAGATAGCCGCCTTTCTGTGGCGAGGTAATCATGAGTATCAGGGTGTCATTAGCAGGGTGGCATGGCAATCTATAACACAACCGAAATCGAGAGGAGGGTTGGGCATCATCGATCCAGCGTTACAAATTAAGGCCCTGACACTGCAGTGGCTTAAGAGACTCCTGTTTCACCCGGGTGTCCCGTGGAAGGCGCTGGCTTTAGAACAGATTGCTCGGCTTGCCCCACAGACAGCTGCAGAATGTGACCCGTTGAGGTGGCTAGAGAATAGAGATTGGTCTATCCCCAGGAAAAAATCTCAATATGACGCC